TTCACAGACCACCCTAAAATACATTAATTTGTTAATACAAATGTGTTATATAAATTTTAGATGTTCTTGCCGTCGTGTTCATCTTAAATTTGGCTGAAAATTTTCTACCTTCTTTCTTTCTTCTCAATTTTACATTCGGGAACCTATCTTCTGTAATATTCAGATGCTTTTTTTCTGAAATAATTAGATTTAATCCAGCAAAACGATACTCCAAAATAGAAAGTATAAAATATAAGTTATCTGAAAGGATAACAAGTGGAAAGAGGACAGAATGGAAGAATGTTACAGTGCACTTTTGCAGTGAGATAAATAATAAAAGATCACAATACCTGGCTTGAATAAAAGGACTACTAGGAAACACTCTGATTCATAGCACTGTGCATTACATTCCTTTCCATGTAATACCTGCAAAAGCTTTGCTAACATGCCTTTCTCATTTTCCAACTTCAATTCCACATGAAACTAAGTTGTTTGTGCTTTCTGTATAATCATGAGTTTTAAAATAAATAATTTATTTACTATGGCTATAGCATTTTGTTTCCCAGGGGTGATTTTTCCTAAGTACAGAATTACCTTTACTTAGGAACCCCTTTTCTGTTTAAATTGGTAAATTGCAGAGCTTAGAATTACACTCTAGGAGATTCTACAAGGGCAAATTCTAATTCTAACTTGGAACTAGCATTATAAAAGATGACGGTGTTGCAGTCTCCACCGACGCTTTTTGTGGAACCCAGAGCTTTTTCTTCTAGTGACTGTATGGATATACGTATAGTTACATGTATGTATCTGAGGAGGTGAAATGAGGGATATGTGTGATCTAATTGTGTCCACGAGAGAGTGATCTTCATGTGTATTCTCCTGCACGTTCTGTGGTATGTTCCAGGCTGTTAGTTCCTTTTGGATCTCTATCTGAGTTAAATATATATAATTTTTTTTTTTCAATGAGGCAGCATCTTTCCATATTTGTCTAACTTAATACTGGCATTATTTTTAGCTTTTTTGTTATCTCTCTTTAAAGTAGTTCTAATTTTCTAACTAGCTTATGTTTTGAAGTGTAGACAGAAATGTTTGTTGTTTGTTTTTTTTTTTTTTTTAAATAACTTTCTTGCACCAACAGAGTTCAAATGTGCTGGGATGCATTCTTTTGTCAGATTACCACATGTGGTATTTGTACTTTTTGGGAGAAGAACACTTTCAGGAAAGGTGTGTGATCTGTTTGAACTTCAAACTGAGAGACAGGAAGAGCTTCAGGAGCTTTGTACAGATATTTTGTACCCCTTTGCTGACCCACTCTGCTGCAGTTAATAGAGCAGTGAGGTTGGCATATGGTCTGCTCCTGTGCTCTAGAAAGATCCTTACTTGGCTGTCAGCAGAAGGGACAGGTAGGAGGGTCTTACTTCCCCCCAAACAGACAAATGTGATTTTTCTTGTTCTAACTCACTGTTTGATGTCAGTGGTTGCTATAAAAAAACCAAATGCACAAGGCTAATACAAGATTTCTTCTGAAAAGACCTCTAAGGAGTTTTGATTTTCCTAGCAACAGAGGCTGTACCAATCCAAAATACAATAGATCCAAACTTCAAGGACTGTTAGTTTCCTTCATTCTGAAGGAAGTTTCTACTACGAGACACAAGGCTGAGTTTTTTCCCGTATAATCATGAAATTTTTTCGTCCTGGCTGTTTTTTCTGCAAATGGCATTTGAAGTTGGCAGTGTGGTTGTGTCATTAGCTTCAAATGAGTTGCAGCTCAGGGGCAGTCTTGTTGCTGCTTTCCTCCCCCTCCTCAACGTTTTTGAGACGGATAATCCTGACGCCAAGCTTTGAGGTAGAAAAACCTTGGTTTAAAGACTACTGATTACTATTACAGAAGGCTACAACATCTATTTTTGTTTGTTCTTTGTCCTCTCTCTGTATTTATATCCGTTTTCTGAGAATCTTTCATAGGAATCAGGTTTTTCTTTTATTCCCTTGTTTTTATTTTTAGTGAGGAGCAATGGAATCGGCTTTTGTGGATGGGCTTGACCTATCAAACTATGATCTATGGTGTAGACATCCACAGCTGAGATAATTCATTATTGTAAACTCCCTTTTTAGGGCAGAAAGTGACCTGCGTAAAACAGTTCATTTAATCCTCAGATCTAGAATGAATGGATCTCTGTTACTTACATAAGTTCTGTTTTCTTTTAGCTTAAAAGGGTCTACACAGCCATCTTGGATATGCCCATTTATACTGTAGGTATCTAACACTTCATGAGATTAATTCCAGAGAAAATGGTTTGATTAACTGTTTCCTAGTATTGACAAGGAACTGAGGGAGGAGATCTGTTTGTGACATGAGGTGAATACTTATATGTGAAAGTATAAATTTAGAGGGATGACATTTTGTCCTGGGTTTAGCTAAAACCCAGTCCTATTTAGTGATTTTTACTTTTCAGTTTTAGTTTCTTCTAAAAGGCTGCACTTTCTGAAGTTAGCAGCATGTTTTCGTAGACAGTGCCTGCTCCTAGCAGTGATAACACCTGATGTTTACAGTCACTGCCTGGGACTGGTATGCAGACAGGCTCTTGCTTGTACTTATTCCTACAGTGACCAAGGCCACTGCTGGCTCTTGTGTGCCACGCTGGGGGTGCCGGGTAGTAGAGGGGGGTCACGAGGAAGTAGAAGGTTGCATGTCCGGGGGGTAATAGACAGGACAGGTGACCAACGAGAGTATTCCATCCCATATGCATCATATTTAGTATAAATTGAGTGATCAGGAGAGTTTCCCTTCTTCTTTGCCCTCTCCTGCAATGGCCGGCGTCCAGAGAGGACTCCATCTGACCTCCTGCTTTTGATCCGGATCCTGAGTTCCCAAATCCAGCTCCCTGTATCCATCTCCCCGCTGCCGCCGCTGAGCCTAGGTTTTTCCCAGTGCCTCCTGCTCTGCAGCATCAGTGGTGATTGCTATTTGGGGGAGGGAGTCGGGTTTGATACCGGGCTATTATCTATAGTTGTATATAGTTCTTTACTTTTTATCATTCCACTATTATTTTCTATTATTATTGTTTCATTAAAGCTGTAGTAGTTTGTTTTCTTCTCTAACCCGAAAGTCTCTCTGCTTCATTCCCTTTTCCTTCCCATTTAGGGGCGCAGAAGAGGGGGTTAGAGAGCGTCTGTCCGTGTTAGAGGCCGGCCTAGCCCTAACCCACGACACATTTACCTTTGGGTGTACCCCTGCCGCAACATGGTAGTTGATACAAGTCTCCTGATGTTCAGAATGCCTGTTTCCAAACTATGTTTCATCTGTCATGCAGGCCTTATCTGCAGCTTATGGGCCAAAAGTGCTAGCAGCAGAATATTGTGCTATTCTGCTTCTTCATCTAGATGATAATGATCATGGCTTTGAGAAATGCTGGGCTGCATTCGCCACAGTTTTCCAGGTGAAGGGCCACTCTCCCAATCAGGTGCAGAATATGCAAGGAAGTCTACTTCCTACTGTGTCACTTCATGCTGCTACAGATTTTAAAGAGTTTGAGCATCAGGAATGACCTATTTCTGAATTCATGGAGCCTCCTACAGAGTCTTTACTGCTAGTGTGATCTCCTGTATGTTTGCTCATATGGCTGTGAGTGTTTTCTTGTGGAGCCAGATAGGAAATGCAATGTGTTGTGACTGCTTGTAACAGTTACTTGGAAGGTTTCAATTTTGCTGATCTCAAGAGCCGTTAAGTGTCCGCAAAGGAATAGTCTTTACATTTTCAATCCCTCGAACATTTTGATAAAGGAGCCTTTTTTCCTAGGCTAAGGGATTATGTGAGCAGCTTCTGATTCTGATTCCCAATGGAACGTTAACCTTAACCTAATATTCTTAATTTTCATGTGGCTTTGGGCTTGTACCTAAATTCTTCTAAGAGAGGAAATTTTCAAAATGGAAATGAACTAGTCTCTGCATCAGTGATTGGGGATATTAGAGAAAATAATGTGAAGTGGGACAAAAAAGCACATTTCAGCGATGGAACAGGAGGTGATGAGGGAAAGAATAATGATGTTTTACGTCTGTTGCAGGAAAAGGCTTCAAAATGGGAATATTAAAGAACCTTTCCAGTTTTTGTTGAATGTAGCAAATCAATCTGTTGCTTAATTATTAGTAATAATGTGTATATTAGGAAGACAAAATGACTTACTGACTTCACTATAGTTGTGGTAGAGCCTGCTTGTTGATAGCGCACTATATTGTCACAGAGTTGACTTCCAAACGAAATGTCCTTTACCTCGCACTACCCTCCCAATGCCTGTCCTTATCTATGCCTCCTTCTCAATGGTAAGGTAAAAGGTATTAAAAATTATTAGAATCACTTTAAAGAGCTCAATGTCAGCCAAATATATGTATATGTATGAGGAAAAATATGGAATGTGGGACTCTGTATTTTGTTGTGTGTATATTATTGTTTGTGTGTTTCTTTTTTTGACCCACTGCACATATCTCATTTAGTGATTTCCTGTAAGCTTTTAAATGAAAATTTTTCGGAAAATTAAAGTTTTGAACAGATTTCTTTTGTATTTTTAATAACTGCAGTTCTGAGTAGCTCTTATTTTTGTGAGAGCACTTGGAGTTGCTTTTGTTATGTATTTTAAAACCAAGAGATAATTAGATAAAAATATATGATTTTTCCTGGTAGGTTTTGGAGGGAGATGTAAAGTTAAGTGATGCAAGAGAAGCCTTATATAGGGTGAATTTCAGTTTAAGTAGAATCAGCTCTTACAAGAAGAAATTTAACAGGCACACAGCTCCAACATAACAAATTAACTGCTTATGGTCTGTTATTCCATGACTAAGTTTAAAAATTATTTTTTTTATGCACCAAAGTAATGATTTTTTTTTTTTCCCATCTCAATATTTTAAACAGGACCAAGCGAACTCATGTCCCACTAACAGAATGCATATTTGAGCTTCCTAATTTGACACTTCAAGCAACTAGAGCTCAAACCCTTCTGCTTCAGACTATTTATCAGAGCTGGTGTCATCCTGCTGGAAATGTCAGTTCGGTGGTGGTAAATGAAGCTTTACTGAATGAGGTTTTCCAAACTTCAGGTAAATATGTGATATTCTTGTTTAAGTATTTATTATGGTACAGGGCGCTGTTAGTGAATGCGCGCACAACTGTATCCTTTAAATCCTTATTTTTACTTGTAGTAGTTAACAGACAGAATATTTTTTGTGTGTATATGGGTATTTATAGCTTATGCTTAAAATCCAGGATGTAAGCTAAGCCACCAAGCTTCACTCCTTGGCACCAATTTCTGGATGCATTTAATTTTCCCATACAGGATAATTTTTCCATGCTTCCTTCATTTGAAACATCCACCCTTGCTACCTTATATGGTGCAGTGTTTTAACTTAAGATCATTCAGAGGTGAAGCTGGATTATTAAGGGCTTTATTAATCAATGGCATACAGTGATATTTTTTTTTGAAGGGCCGCAGATGTTTCTCGTCTGGTTTCATAAATAAGTGTTACTGAGCTGTTGTGAAACTGCTGAAGATATGCAAGTTACAGTGATGATGATATAAATAATGAAGTTAGTTATGTTCTATAAAACACTCACAGATTTTTGGACTAAACTGGGGATTTTGATGAGTTTATGGGAGGCATCTGCAATCTTCAAATGCATAAAGGTTATTCAGAAGAAGAAAATATTTTTTTCGTTGTATTTCTATGCAGGCTAGAATTATTCAGACCCACTATTGTTTAGACCCATTATTGTTTATCTGTTGTAAGTAACATAGCAACAAGAATTGAGATTTTTTGGAATCTCCCATTGTTACCAGGCTTGAGAATATGTTAGAAGAGTGATTCATATGTAGTAAATCATGACTCGAAGCAAAATCGAAGATTAAACTACCACTGGAAGTCTTTCAGTCCTGTTTTTCTCAGTCTTGTTTTCCTTTTTCAGTCCTGTATTGATCTGAAGATGCTGAAGAGCTGTTGTATTTTTGGATGTGTAACCCTTGAAATAACTTCAAGAGCTTAGTTTTTCTTTCTATCCCCAAATCTGCTGATTCTCTTTATTCCTTGATTCTGTGTGGTTCACCCAAGGATGACATTGTGTGGTTTTATTTTCAAGTATTCTTACTTCTGAAGGTAGCAGCTTTACAATTCACACCTAGAGAAATGTGAAAATACAGTCACTTGATCATTTCACAGGGTCATAGGGCTTGCACAGTTCCAAAATAACCTGTTCCAGCATGTAACATCTTCCAGTCCTTCAGTTCAATGAACTGTGATACAGCCGTGCTAACAAAGTGTCCACATAATAGAAATCTAAAGGACTCATTTTAAGTACTTATAGTAATGTAAATGAATGGTACAGAACACTTGTTTTGATCTCCTGTTTGTGACTTAACACTTGACCTGGTAAATTTTATACTTCTTTAGTTGTAGTTCACATTAGCTAGATGTGGACTGTGTTGTGTTCAAGTCCATGAAATGACTGCAGTCTACCCTTTTGTCCTAATTTTTGGCTTGGTTGATTTCTAAGTCTACTACCTGTTGTTGGAATACCTTTGTATAAAATTTAGTATCGTGCCTTATTGAAAATCATCCTTGTAGTTAATGTCAGCTTCCATGTACTTTACAAGTAACATGTATGTGTGCAAGCTTCTAAAAAACCACACACACCTGACTGTAACTTTACAGGAAGCTTGGGTTTTCAGCTTTCTTGGCGTTTCTATTTTCCTTCTCCCCGTCCGTCCTTCTCCTTGTCCTGTCTTGAAGTTCATTGCTTTTATTCTGCTGTAAACAAGAATCATAAACTGTGTACTGTCACCCAAAATATTTTCTACTTTGACATTTTCAGACTTCCTCAGCTGCCTATGTCTGCATTACCACTTTTTGTGTGGTGATTGAAGAGAGTTATTGGACTGAAAATGCTGTTGCTGAACTCCTTATGTCTTTATTAAGGCTTTGTGCTAGGTGCTTTTTTGAGTGAGCAAAGTGTCTCCATAATGATTCAGTATTATCTGAACTCAAAAGTGGTACCACAAGGCTTTTGTATCCTCTCAGCATAATTTTTTTTTAGTGGGAATTATGGTCTCTAGTTTGATGCTTTTTCCAACACAGCCATCTCTTCCAGTTCTAGAACCGCATCACTGAAACTGTGCTTCCAATATGGGCTAAGATACCGTGGAGAGAGAGAAGAACAGATGAATTAGGGTGGGAAAAAGAAAATAAAAGTGGAAAGAAAAAGGGAGAGAGAGGATCAGCTAGTAAAAAGGAAAAGAGCTGCAGGGGAAGGCAAATCAAGGAAGAAGCAAGTAGAAAAAGTTAAAGTAGAAAAGCAGTAAATTTAGGAAAGCCAAAATCTAATAGCAAGAGAAGCACGGATACTTGACTTGCAGGAGGAAGAGAGAACATCAGAGAAGAACACTTCAACGTGCTGTGGAGACTCTCAGAAGGTCCGAAGGCCTCTTTGGGAACCTGTTGGCTGGGTTAGCGCTGAAAGACTTTCTCTGCAAGTAGTTTACAAAGGGAGCTCTGCACTGTGTATTTCCACAAACATAGGAACAGAATTTATGGCTTGTATCTGGGGTTCTGGCCTATGGTTTCATCTGGAGGAGAAATGTTTTTCTGTTCCAGAATTCATTCAGAATTAATTTAGGCTGAAGGCGGTGCAGGGATTCAGGACAAACTCTCAAGCTCTTTCCTGTACAAGTTCATGTTGGGAATAGATTAATAGAATTCCAGGAGGGGGGAAGTTGCTTGTAGATGAACACTCGTATGTCCCCCACCTACCGTCCCCCCCTGCCTTCCAGAAATCTTTTTCTACTAGGAGAAAAACACTTTCCACAAGCATTTCATGGTTTGTTGGTTATTAGACTTACTGCCGTAAATCAGATAGTACAAGAGTTGCTCTTTCGATTAACTTGTCTAAAAGCAAGCTGTCTGAAAAAAATAAGTTATGAAGTTTGCAAAGCAAGTTGTGTGTGTTTGGTTTCTGGTGGAATTTAAGAATTAAGTGCCTGTACTACTCAAAATTTGTATTTGTTTTCCATATTAGTAAGGTCTCTTATCTTAAAAAAAAAACAGGAAAAAGATGTGTGCTGTGACTAGGTGATTGAGCTCAGGACTTGTGGAAGATAGGTAAAATGAGTATTTCAAAAGGATATATGTTTTTTACACTAGACATTTATTGTTGCTATATTTAAATATTATGCCTCCCTTGACATAAATATAAACAATAAAACTTACAACTTGAATGAATAGGCTTTACCATTAAATGGTACAAGAAAGGTTAATACTGCTTAAAATATGAGTTGTGCAAGAACAGAAAATTTAAAATAATAAATGGGAATACAGAGTGACAAAATACAAAATAATGAATATATGAATAAAGCAGCTGCAAACAACTGTTTGGTCTTTATCATGAGTTATGAAAAAGGCATTATTAACTTATTGATAAATGCATTACATTCAAAGTAGAAAAAAGAACAAAAGCGGTATTCATCCTACACATAGCTCTTTGGAAATTTATGTTGTGTTTTGGTTTTATAATCCTTTTGGTATACGAGCACAACAGTATGTTACATGTCAGTTAAATAATATATTAGTTCTTATGCTTGCACATGCTGGTGAGGCATCACAGTTTTGCACTGTACATGTGGAAACAAACATGAATCTTAAAAACATCATGCTTGCTGCATTTTTGCTAGTAGATGTATTGATTAGAAAAATTCTTCTGCAATCTTTATACTGTTTGTTTTTTAACCAAAAAAAAAAAGTGTATGAAATACCGAAATTTTAGAAAAATGGTGCCAGTTAAGATTTTTCAAAGGTCAAGCATAACTAATCCTATGGAGTAAGTTTACTTTTTATTTTTGTAATTTTATATTTTATTTATTTATGGAGTAAATTTCATTATTTGTTAGTAGGTACCTGAAGCACTCGATTTCTAACCATTTCAGCCTGCTAAGAAAGCATATACACAGTCACACATGGCTTTAGTTTACTCTGGAAAACTGGAACTTGCTACCACTTTTTCCTTGTCCTATTCAGGTAGTTCATTATTTTGTTGACAGTTCGGTTCCATTAATCTGGTATTTTTTGGAAAATTGCTTGCAGACCTTACATTTCTCTATTGAAGGTGATCAAATAGGCATTTGAGTCCCCCATGTAAATGATGTCTTAAAGTTAAAATAAAATCTACTTTCCAGAAAGTAACTGTAAAACTATTTTATGCAAGATTTCATGTGGGATACCTTAATGGTTGAATAATAAATTTTACCTCATAAAAATGAAATTCAATAATACAGTAGCTTTCTCAGTGCAGTAGCATCTGGTTGAATCTCAGGAGAGCCAATATTTTCCAACTCATTAGGATCATGTCGTTCTGTATGTCGTCAACATTGACTTAGCCAAGCTACCTTTACTTACATAACCGCCAAACTATTAAATAGGTCTCTTGTGGAGTGAAGTCAAATATTCCTCTTATTTTGCTTTTGCCTTGGAAGAAGAGAAGAAAATGTACATACTGTAACATTTAAACATCTGGTCTAAACCACATCAGGGTAACACTGAGGAAAGTAACAGGATTCAGTATTCTTCCCAGGTGTACATATAAAAAAAGGGTTGTGGAACTGCTTCATAGTTCTTTTAACCACTTAGGAAAAAGACTGAAATAAGTGACTTGCCTTTCTAATACCCCTGTTTTTAAAACGACTTTGTTCCTCTTACCTGTTCCCCTGCCACCAAACCCCAAAACACAAAATCCAGCAAAAGCCCAGCATTTCCAAGTTTAGTGGTAATGCAGATTGTTAAGCTCTAATCGCTTCCTTGCAACATACTGGCATTCAATCCCTGACCAGTTTGGCATTTATTTTGAGGAGTTTGACTTAAACTTTCTGTTGAAAATCAAAGTGCGAGGGTGTATTCTTTTAAGTAATTGCTTAGAAGTGGTGGGACACAGCTGTGTGAAACTTGCACAGTATAAACAATTTGCTGTCTTACATGGGCGATTGTACCCACATGTGTCCTCGTCCTTCATGTAGGCTTCTGAATACAATGTGTAAATAGTTTCTGTGAAGATCTGAAAGATC